AACGACGAAGTTCTCCCAGTTATGTACATTCACAGGCAGAGTGCCTACCTGCTGGGTAGGCACCGACGCATTGCTGATATCCCTATTGACCACCCCTCCTGCTCCAAACAACATGCTGTCTTTCAGTACCGGTAAGTCTTGGCCCAGGTGTGGGTGTGGATATGTAGCTGCTTAGGAGCCTCTATGAACTATGAGTAGCTGTTAGTTCCAAGTTAGCTATTAATACTCCCCACTTACTGGCTGGGATCTATATAGCATACAGCAAGAGACAGTATTAAGGACTTTGGATACATCATTTTGCTGACAAGTATGCCCTGTAATAGGGACGCGGGTGGCGCTGTGGGTAAAAGCCTCAGCGCCTAGGGCTTGCCGATCGAAAGGTCGGTGGTTCGAATCCCCGCGGCGGGGTGCGCTCCCGTTGCTCGGTCCCAGCGCCTGCCAACCTAGCAGTTCGAAAGCACCCCCGGGTGCAAGTAGATAAATAGGGACCGCTTACTAGCGGGAAGGTAAACGGCGTTTCCGTGTGCGGCTCTGGCTCGCCAGAGCAGCGATGTCACGCTGGCCACGTGACCCGGAAGTGTCTCCGGACAGCGCTGGCCCCCGGCCTCTTGAGTGAGATGGGCGCACAACCCCAGAGTCTGTCAAGACTGGCCCGTACGGGCAGGGGTACCTTTACCTTTACCTTTACCTTATGCCCTGTAATTGCTACCTCCCTGTTGTCCTACCCCTCTCCAGCAAATTTATGTCAAATACACTTATCTGCTGTCATTTTGACCGTAGCTCCTCTTTCCTGGCACACTATGTCGCTATTGAGAAAGTAGTCCTTGCTTTAAAGCTCCTTGCCTGCAATTTGATGCCAGCCTTATCACCTAGTAAAACCCTTCTAATTCCTTCAATTTGGGACAAACAAGCAACAAGTCCCAAGCAAGTATTGGGGAGCCTCTAGCCCAAGGACCTAATTAAACCTGGCACAGGTCCCAGTTTGGTCCATGAAACTGTTCCCCACAGACTGCAGTCACCTGCTCCCCATTTGGCCTTACATAGAGGATGTGAAGTGTGGGACAGGTATAGGCACGGTTATAAAGGATTTAACTTAAGCCCCCAATTGTTCCGTTGCAAGCGGGTTCTTTGTTGGTGCTGATAGGAACTCCCTAGCATAGCTGAGGGGACTTGCATTGTTTGCAGGAAGGGGTGTGGGTTCAAATCTTGGAACAGAGAATTTTTTTTCCTCTGCAGAGGGGGAAATGCTTTGTTTATGGAGAAAGCAGCTTGAACCCAAACCACTTTCTTGAGAATGACTTCAAAGGATCTCCCTCTGACTGCCAATCAGTGGTTACAGCAAGTCCCTTTGAAGGCATGCTCCTTTGAACTTCAACATGTGCATGTGCCAGTCATCTGGCAGTATTATGACGTTGGCAGGGGGTGGGGGAATTAAGGGCCAGCCTTGACAAACTTGGCAAGCTAATGGAAGCCAGTGCAACAGAACAGTCGTAAGAGCATGACTTTAAATTCCTGTCTAAGGATCTGGCTCACTGGGTGGTTCCTATTCCCCATCCCTGGCATGCTGAATAGTGTGAGGACTGGGAGTGATCAGAAATTGCAATTATGGGGCATATTGAAGGTTTAAAACCAGAGCAGACCTTATGGGGCTTTAAGTTCATTATCAATAGTTCCACTAAAGATTAGGGCAGCTACAAATTTCTCAAGGCGGAAAGAGCCACAGCTGATCTCCTTGAGCAAAGCAGTCACAACTAAATAGCTCTTCTTCCTGAATAAGGTCTCTGCTGTAAGTTATGTTCAAAGGAGTTTTATGTTTTAAGATGTGCTCCACAGGGTTGTTGTGGGATGCTGGAAGCTGGGAGAAATCTTAATGAAGTTGGGCTCCCATATATTATGCTGTTAATCAGTACAAATCTCTTGTTTCTTACAAGGCTTGTGGAATACACCCGCCCTGATGGCACAGTGGGCCGGAAGGTAAAACCCTACATTATTGACCTTGGCTCAGGCAATGGCACATTTCTGAACAACCAGCGCATTGAGCCTCAGCGCTACTACGAACTGAAAGAGAAGGATGTCCTGAAATTTGGGTTCAGTAGCAGGGAGTATGTTCTGCTCCATGAGTCATCAGATACCTCAGAGGTGGACCAGAAGGCAGAGGAGGAGGATGAGGAGGAAGAGGAGGAAGAATCCACCTGACAGCCCATCAGGGGGTGGACTTAACCTTTCTCTGCAGCTGAGCCTCAGATCCTTTGTGTGGACTGAAGCATTGCTGCCCCGATGCCTCTCACTGCCTTAAAATCTGCTGCCTTTGGCTAGTCATGTTAATTTGTGAACTTCTCACACACTCAGTTGATGGTTATGGGCACTGAAGTAGAGCCAACTGTTGCTTTTCAAATGGTTTGGGTTAATCAGAAGGTGCTAGGAAAGCGAGGTCACTTTTGATGCCCAGCTGACATCGCAGCTGTGTTGCTAGAGTTTCTCAATGTATTTTTTAAATTTAAGACTCTGAAACAAGAAACCACCTTGTACAAAAATTGCCTTTCCCAAACAAACAGGCTATTTTGCTTCTCCCCACCCCTTTTATTTTTTGCTTGCACAGTTTTTAAAAAAATGATAGATGCAACTTTTTTTAAAAAAAGTAGAATTTTGGTTTAAAGCCTGGTGGATGTTCTGTAATGTCTCTAGCAGTTCGATTTATTGATGTGTTGAGATAAAAGAACTTGGAAAAAATTGTGTAGATTTCTGAGATTCATGTAGGAAATTGTGCATCAAAATACATTTTCAGGGATATACTTTCCAGATCCTTGGCAGTTGAATCTGGAGTGAAAAGGAAGTTTTCTGTCTCCTCTGTCTGGCTTTCTTACCACTGAGAGGAAGGGAGCATTAAGTTTGTTTCTCAGGCACCTGTATTACCCCATGAATAATTTTGCACTTAGCATGGTGGATAGTTTCCAAAAAACATTTAAGTAAGTTTAGTTTCCTTTCTTTCAATGTGGATGCTACTATATTTTTGTCTTACTGATAGCAAGAGGCAGGAGGTGTATTAGTGTTGTACGAAGGGAGGTGGAAGAGACCTTCGCCCACAACCCTTTTGTACTCTGAAAACTTTTGCACAGGTTCTGTAGCTGCAGTTTTGTGTGTAGCTGCCTTACAATAAAGGAAACACAACTTGCCGTGTGTAGGGGTAGTAACTTTTCCTACTGCCCCACACTTTCTGAGAGCACCTCCTGTTTGCATAAATGTACCATGTGCATAGGGTTGTGTGCATGTCTAGAAGAATATTAGGATAAAGTTTAGCATGTAAATATGGGGCCAAAATGCAGATTTTCAAGCTTTTAGGTGATGGAGATGGTTTTGGACAGCAGTATCACCTTTCCCAGAAGTCCCTATTTTCTTTTTTAAATAAAGGATTTGTAAATTTAGCTTGAACATGTTTATAGTGCTGTGGGTTTTTTCTTCCTTTCTCCAAATTGATAATGTTATTTCCTACTTAACTTTTAAATAAAAACAGGTGGGTTGGTGTGATATTACAGATAAGCAGCAAAAGTAGAGTTTACAAAGCTCTGTGTATTTTTTAAAAACGGCATTCAGCAAGCACGGCAAACCATTATATCACTGCAACCTTGTACTATTGAGGAGTCTCACTGTAAGCTGTTTAGAGCCTGTGCCCCATAATCCAATACCAAAATATTTATTTTCAATACAGTGCCATTGTGACCCTCTTAAGAATGTTGGGGGGGGGGTGAACAGGGGAAGGACTAGACCATGTGAAAAGTGAACAGAATATTTGAGCTGCAGTTCATTCATTTTCGCCTTTGTATTCTTGTTATAACAAAGTGCACCTAGACATTCTGTTGTTGCTCCCATAACCTAGGTTTAAGGTGCCATTTAGCTCCTAGCTTTCATATCTCAGTTTCTAACACTGCAGGCAGCAAAATCACAAAATTGGGATGACACATACAGCCCCAATTTTTAAAAAGGAAGAGCAGCAAAGAATGGACTTAACCAATCCATGAAAGAACATATTAGACAACCTGGTCTGGCAGGTGAATGTGTTCTGTGGCTCTGCCCATGTACACTCAACTGAATGACCCACTTTATAATGCCAAACCCAACTGTGTTGTCCTACTGCGTTCTCAGTTTCCGGCTTACAGTTTGTCTGGGGTGTACAAACCATGAGCTTAGGTTTGGATGATCTTTCTACTGGCACAGAGGAGATAAAAGACAGCCAGTGTGACAGTGATTAGAGTGCCATTTTACAGCCTGGGAGACCAGGGTTTGAATCCCCACTCAGCCATGAAGCTCACTGGGTGAACTGGGGCCAGTCACTGCCTCTCAGCCTAACCTACTTCACAGTTTTGCTGTGAGGACAAAAATAGAAGAAGGGCAACCATGTGCACCGCCTTGAACTCCTTGGAGGAAAAGGGATATAAGGTCACACATCACTCACTCCCTAAGACAGAAGGGGCCTCTGCCACCTGGTTCAGACCTGGTTCAAAATTTAATTGCTTTCTGCTTCCTAACAAAATATTTGGTTCATCTTGCACCCATTGCCCCGTTGAAGGAATCCCAGGAACTTCTCCTCGCCTGTTGACATTCCCTAAATATATCTGAACTGAGGCGATAGTGCAACTCTTCTCCGTCCCCTCTTCTGCCAAGTAACGTCAGAAAGGCAGAGGCTTGGGAGCCCAACTGTGAACTGGCTTCGTGGCGGGGTGGGAGACTTCCCCAGGTGGAAGGGCGGCGGGAATCCGTGGGCCTGTGTCCGTCGGCTCCTCGACCCTTCCCAGCCCGCCCACCGACCCGGGACTGGGACCGGCAGACGCTTCTAGATCCAAGAGGGAAGCGCGGGCGGAGCCTTCCGGCCCCTCCATCCTTCCTGCTGCTGCTGCTTATCGAGAGCGGCTCGGCGGAGTGGAAGCCCCGCCGAAAGGGAGGGAGCTGGCGGGGCGGGGACTGCCGCCTGAGGGCCGCCCAACCGCCGCTTGGCTGCGTCCGCCTCCGCGCAAGGGCTGGCCCGACGGCGGGGAAGGAGGAGGCTCCAGCCTCTGCTGCTCCCAGCGGCTCCGCCCGGCATCGCGCTCCCGCTCGCCTGCCTGGGTCGGGCCTTCCTCTCGCCTCTCCTCCTGCCGCTCGCTCTCCTCCTTCTCGCGGGCGATGGCGGCGCTCCACGGGGCGGCCACCAAGGCCGGCGCCCCGCCGCAGATCCCGGACACCCGTCGCGAGCTGGCCGAGCTGGTCAAGCGCAAGCAGGAGCTGGCCGTGAGTAGGAGCCCCCCGACGCCGAGGGAGGGGAGGGGCGGGCTAGGCCTGGGCGAAGATGATGATGATGATGCCCCTGGCTCGGGCAGCGCGGGTGGGCGCGGGGAGGGGTGTCTTCTCTGCCCCTGCTCTTCCAAAAGCCCCCACCCACCGCGAGGCTCCCCTGCCGCCCCTCCCCACCGCGCGCTCGATGTTTCCTCTCTACCTTCTGCCCTTTTGCAGGAGACGCTGGCCAACTTGGAGCGTCAGATCTACGCCTTCGAGGGCAGCTACCTGGAAGATACCCAGATGTACGGCAACATCATCCGAGGCTGGGACCGCTACCTGACCAACCAGAAGTGAGTGGAGGGCGGGGTGCCAAACGGAAAAGCTGCCCTCAAAGAGGACCGGCGTCATGGGTAGCAACAGGAGACCTCTAGCAAAGCGCTTTGCAACTGCGCCAGGTCCACCCTGCTCTAAGTGATAAACCCTATAGCTCTCCTCTGGGGGGTGTCCCATGGCCTGGACTGTTGCAGGTGACTCCCTGCTGCCCCCCTTCCGCTTTGAGCTACTCCTTCCTTCTCCTCCCCCCACCCTCCATCTCCTGCCTCACCAGTGGTCCTTCCCTGATTTTGGGCAGGGGCTACAGCCACCTCTCTGGGGTCCGGTTGTGTGTGTGTCTCACCCACTGGGCCTGGGCCTTAATCTGTTGTCATACAGCAGCCACAGTTTATTCTAGAATCCAGAAGGCAGCCTGCAAAAGGACACTCCCTCCCACTTCTTCTTGAAAAGAGAGAGAGGCGTGGTTTCCCTGTTTGAGGTGGTGGTGGTGGGGAGATGCAATTTCACAGGTCTGCCCTTGACTTACACCAGCCAATAGGAAGGCTGCTGGATCAGGCCAGTGACCCTTTTAGTCCAGCATCCTGTTCTCACAGTGGCCAACCAGATGCCTCAACAGGAAACTCACAAGCAGGACCCAAGCTCGAGAGCCCCCTCGTCTCCTGTAGTTTCTAGCAACTGGCATTAAGTAGCATTTACCTCCTCCGACCGTGGAGGCAGAGTATAACCATTCTGGTTAGTGGCTGTGGATAGCCTTCTCCATGAATTTGCCTAATCCTCTTCTAAAGCTGTCTTGGTTGGTGCCCAGCACTGCTTCCTGCAGGAGCAAGTTCCATAGTTTAACAATGTGCTGTGTAGCTGTCCTAAATATTCAGTTGAAGGTCCACAAATTCTAGTGCTTTGAGTCAGGGCAAAAAACTTGTTTCTATCTACTTTCTCCTCTCTTGCTTCCAGGAACTCCAACAGCAAGAATGACCGACGGAATCGCAAGTTCAAAGAAGCCGAGCGCCTTTTCAGCAAGTCTTCAGTCACATCAGCTGCTGTGAGTGCAAGCTGGGGGCGAGGGTGACCTGTGTTGTTTTTCTGAGGCCTCCCCCTCCTATGTCCTTCCTTCCACCCAAACATGTGGAAAAAGCATATTGCATGATTTCCAGTAACTGGTACTCAGAAGCATTGCTGCCTCCAACTTTTGGTCCTCCTCTAGGTAGTCTCCCTGTATCCTCCCTATTGACAGGAAGAAGTCACTGAACTGATCCCTCAACTTCTCTAGACATCTTTCAGGTTGAGCAAACTCTGTGTTTATTTGTTATTTTTAAAGCATTGGAGTTCTTCCTGTCCAGTTTTGGCCAGCCCTCTCCCACAACACACACCATTTGGGTTCTCCCAGTCTCCTTTCTTCCCACCTTGTCTTATTCAGGTGTAGTCTGTTCTTTGAGGGAGGACCAATGCCAGCCCTCCTGGGGCAGAGGAAGCTTTCCCCCATCACTAGATGCCTGAGATCCTGTCAAGGGAGATACTGCCAAAGCATAGAAAGTAGGGCAGGTACTTGGAGTGGGGTGGGATTTGTGTCCTGTGCCTGTCCTATGGCACAATCTTGGAAGTCCAGCCAAATGTGGCACCTCTTTGAGTGGCCTGAGAAGGAGGCGATGGGGTTGAGTCTCCCAGAAGTTCCCACAATCCTCCTCAATCTGGTCTCTTTCGGTTTCCTAGGCGGTCAGCGCACTGGCAGGAGTTCAGGACCAGCTCATTGAAAAACGTAAGTTGGCCTTCCTTCCTGCTGAGCCCCCTTCCTCTCTTGTGAACTTGTCTCCACACTGCTCACTTCACAGATGCTGTGAAATCCAACTCAGAAGGTGCAGAGTTGGACTGTCCCACTTCTGGAAGAGAACAGGATTGAATGCCAAAAGCTCCCTGCATGTGGAAAGCTTTTTTTAAAAAAGAAATAATTAACTATTTTATTGAAGTACTGTAAATAGAAAACCCAATACAATAAAAATAATAGAAATATCAAAATAAGTGCAGTATGTCTAGGTGAGACCCAATGTTAGACTGGTGGAATACTTAAGACCATTAGGAAAGCTGAATTTCATATTGTTCTGTGGAGAGAGAGTCCCGTGTGCTTATTATATATAATATAATATTTCACCAAACAGCGTAAAAACTTCTAGGGTCCTCTAAGCTTTTGCCACCAAGTAATTTAGAAGTTATTTTTTCAGCTAATGCTAAACTTCACATATTTTTATACCAAAGCAGAAGTCACAAGTCCTGCAAGGTTTTCCCTGAGAGTTGAAAACTTTGAGTTGCTCTTCCTACAGATTTAGTAGATAAATCTGCAGTGGTGTTGGGATATTTGAGGATGTTGGTCATTTCTTGACCAATTGTCCAGCATTTGAATGTCTGTGGGCAGTCCCACCACAGGTGGAGGAAGGTGCTTCTTTCCCCACATCCCCACTAAGAATTCTGGCATCACATAGGCACATCTGGCATCTGCATAGGATTTTCACAGAACACTCCCTCATGTAAGCTGAGGCTGATTTATATCATTTGGATGACCATAGCACGTAGAATCCATTGTCTGTGTGTGCAGGTCTTTCTGCTGTGTAAGTATAAAGCCTAATAAAACAGACCAGTGAGAATATCTACTAATTTGACTGACACTAGGCCTTTCATGTGGAAGGCTAGTGCATCAAGGAGAAGGGCAACCCTTGCACCACCCAAATCAGCCCATGTTTCTTACTTATTTACTCTTCCATCCTGCTTTGAGTTTTCTAAGATAAGAATAGGTAAGAAATATAATGATTTAATTTTTTTAAAAGAAAAGTAAATTGATAATTGATTCAGGTGTGGGTGCAAAAAGTGCATTTCCCCCCTGCTGTGGGGCTTCCTTCCTGACCCCTGGGGGCTGGCCTTCTGGCCAGAGCCAATGAGAGCAGCTGTTTCTCTGAGCTCTGAGGCGTGCCTGGATTTCTCCTTCAGGGGAGCCTGGCAGTGGGACGGAGAGCGACACCTCCCCAGACTTCCACAACCAGGAGAACGAACCGAGCCAAGAAGAAGCGGAAGAGCTGGACGGCTCCGTCCAAGGGGTGAAGCCCCAGAAGGCAGCATCCTCCACTTCGGGCAGCCACCACAGTAGCCACAAAAAACGGAAGAACAAAAATCGACACAGGTGAGGTGGTCGAGGGCCAAGTGTGTGGGCTGAGCTGGAGTTGGGGGGTTTAGAGGGCACCTTCTCTTGAAGGGCAAATACCCTGCCAGAGGATTTCCCCTCTGGCTTGGCACATATTTTGGTCTTGGAATCATAGAATTGTAGAGTTGGAAGGGACCCCCAAAGGGCATCTAGTCCAGCCCCCCTGTGACACAGAAATCGCAGCTAAAGAACCCTTGCGGGATGGCCGTCCAACCTCTGGTTAAAAACCTCCCGTGAAGGAGAGTCTCGCCCTACCAAATCTTTCTTTTGAGGTGGGTGATGAAGAGGACTCTTGGTGGCACAGAGCAGGGCTGGGGGACTGGATTTTCAGGCCACTTGGACAGGTGGGCAGGGGGAGTGCAGTGCAGCAGTTAAAGCAGTGCTTCCCAAACTTTTTCAGGCCACCGCTGCCTTGGTTCCATAACCTCATCCCCAGTGCCCCCTACTCTGTAAAAAGAATTATTCAGAATAGCGGTTTGCATGATCCGTTAAGGTAGATAATAACACACTGGAATTCAAAACAGTAAAAGTTAATTGCACATTTATTCAAAATCCAGTTAACGCTATTTAGCTTAATTATTTCAAGAAAACTGATGAACTTGATACATTGATACCAGCTTTTTGAAGTCAGAGAGTTATTTACACCTCTAGCGGCCACCCCCCGCCACCCCTTTGCCTCTTAGTGCCCCCCTAAGGAATCACACTAGTGTTGGACTAAGATCTGGGAGACCAGAGTTCAAATCTCCACTCAGCCATGAAGTTCCCACTGGGTGACCTTGGGGGCTCTTGTCACTGTTCCCAGGCTAACCTACCTCACAGGGTTCTTGTGAGGATAAGATGTGCAGAGGGAGAACCAACCAATGCCACCTTGAATTCCTTGGATGGAAGGAGGTGGGGTAGGACTGTTGTTCATAAATAAAAATACATGTCAGGTCATAGGATGTTCAAGGTGTGATTGCAAAGGAAGAGGAAGCAGGAGAAGGTGCCTTCCTGACTCTTCCTTTACAGGCAAAATCCTGCCCCTTTCCTGTTACTGTGCAGGGCAATAGAAAAAGATGTTCCGTTAAAAAGCAGCCCATTTTGCCTGTAAAGGAAGAGTCGGGGGTGAGAGCACTTAGAGGGGGCTCCAGCTTGAGGTCTCAAGCCTTGCCTTGAATTTTCTTACACCTGATTCACCTGCCATCAGGGCTGAGAAAGGTAGGCGTGGTTTATTTTATTTGTTTTGTTTGGAGCATTTGCGTCCCGCACTTCAGCCCCAAAGACTCCCAGAGCAGCTTAGACTAGCGGCCAAAATTGTGGAAACCTTTTGGAAAAGGTGTATTTCCGAGGTTTGATGGCTCATAACACCGCTTTTTTTTTGGAGTAATACCATAAAATTATATATCAATGGAGAGATAATTTAATGAAGAATGCAACATTAAGTTCACTTACCTGTATTCTGTAAAAAGTTATACCCAAATAACCAGAACAGAGAAGCACAACTTCCTTAGGCTGATATGCAGTAGCGTTCCTTCATTTGAATGTAGCCAATGAGCATGAGTGTTTAGAGAGCCAATCAGGTGTCGTCTTGTTTTGGCAATGATCCAATCAGGTCACAGTAGGATTCAGCTGTTGATGTTATGTACTGGAGCTGAGAGAAGGACATTGGTCAGTGTGTTAGATGATTGCTATCAAGTTGGTTGGTCTTTTTTGTGTTCTTTCATTTAGTGAGCTTGTAAAACGTAATAAAATTAAACAAATGGCGCAAGGAGTTGACTGGTAACCCAGAAAGCGATGTAAAATAGTACTGTTAAGTGAACAAGGGTACAGTTATGAAGAAATTAGAAGAAAAATTGGTGGAAACTTAACTAAAGGTGGCATTTCTAAATTTTTGAAGAGCTATAAGGAGACTCAGTCACTGCAAAATCAGACTGGTAAAGGCAGGAAAAGGTGCATAACAGCAAGTAACGACAGAAGAATTGAGAGACTTGTGGCTACGTGGCAGAAAAATAATCTGGGTGTATACAAGATGACATGGCGCAATGTAATGTGAAGTTGAGTTCAAGGACTGTTTGGCGCAGACTGCAGGAATATGTTCTAAATGCTAGAATTCCAAGGAAAAAGCCACGGTTATTTCTCAAACAAAGGCTGAAAAGATTAAACTGGGCTAAAAACCCAACTGGACAGCAGAACAGTGGGACAGTGTTGTTTGGAGTGATGAGACCAAAATCTCCTTGCGTGAGGAGAAAAATCAGAGAAGATTTACATCCTGTTTGCATTACACCTACCATGAAACACCCAGTTAGTGTTATGATCTGGGATTGTATGACAGCAAAAGCTGTGGGCAGAATTTGCATCATTAATGGGAATGTAAATGCCCCAAAATACATAAATGAAATACTTGAGCCCGAACTGAAGCGTTCCACACGTGATCTTTTCATAGACAATGAAGCATTTATAGAAATATTTATTTAATATTTAAACAGGATTTTGTTCCATGACATGTTGCTGCTGATTGCAAAAGGTGGTTTCAAGATAATCATATTCCACTGCTGGAATGGCCTGGGAATAGCCCAGACCTTAACCCAATCAAAAACCTATGGAGCCAACTAAAGAAACTTGTTAGTCAGAAGCAACCCAGCAATAAAACCCAATTAATACAGGCAATAATTCAATCTTGGTTTCACATTATTACAGCTGCAGAACTAAAAAACTTGGTTCATTCCAAGGGAAGGCATCGTAATGCCGTAATTAAAGCTAAAGTTTACCCAACTAAGTATTAACTGACATGGTGAGAACTCTTGCATATCTCATTTTTTCTATGTGTTTCACATTTCTTCTTTATGACTGCTGTTGTAATAAATAATCCTTCATAAAAGTTACTACATTACATTCTTCATTAAATGATCTTTACATTGATATAGAATTTTATGGTATTACTCCAAAAAAGAAGTGGTGTTATGAGCCATCAAACCTCGGAAATACACTTTTCCCAAAAGGTTTCCACAATTTTGGCCACTAGAGTATATATGATCAAGACAAGACAATCCCTAACTGCAGGCTTACAGTCTATTAAAAACAAACAAACCATGAAACACAAGGGAAACGGAACAGGGAGGGAAGAGGAAAATGAAAACCAAAACTCGGACACCAATTTCTGCACAGCTGTTCCTATATTGACCAGCTGGCACAGTTCAGGAGCAGGAGGTGCCTGATGGAGCTAGGCCTCTGCTAGCTGATGAAATGAGCCTTGCTGGTACCCATCTCTCCCACAGAGGCAGCCTGGGGTGAATGGCTGCCTGCAGGTGACAGTTGAGGGCAGAGGAGGCCCGATGGGGCTGGCCTGTCCCAGCAGAGCCAATCATTCTCTGCTTCTCAGCTCTCCCACTGCTGGAACGGCACCCGAAACAGTGTGGTGCATCACTTGGTGGACCAAAAGTTCCCCACCAGTAATGTAGAGGGAGGTAGCTTTATTTTAGTAAATTTTGATTCTTCATTCCAAGGAGCTCAGGGTGACAATTATGGTTCTTTCTTATCCTCTCAGCAGCTCTTGGGAGTAGGTTAGGCATGGTTCACCCGGTGACTCACTGTTTGGAGCCGGGCATTTGATTCACCACTGCTCCATGCTGACCCTCTTGAGCAAACCCATTTATGGGTTGCGGGGGGGGGGGGGGAGGAGAAGCCGCCCCATGGATGCAGTTCAAATCCACAGCAAGGGATGCTCCTAAATTAGTGGGGGTTTGCCAAGGGCCCATCTTCAAATAGGAAAGAGGCCTCTGTTGAGCAGATGACAGATGGAAAATGCAGGTGAAATGTCACCTCTAACTGCAGCATGTTATGGCTATTGGCATAGCCCCATCTGGGTCCAGGCTGCTCTGTAAGAGTGAGAGGGCAGGGACCTGCCCCACAGGGGTTGCAATTTAGGAAAGTGCAAATGGTAGTGGTGGGAGAGGGGGACGAGGGGTGGAAAATGGGAGTCTGCCACAGTTTCACATCCTAGGTGGGCATTCAGAATATCTGGCTGCTGGGTAGAATCAAAGATTTACAGAGTTGATAGAGCTGGACAGGATTCCAGGATTCCAACCCTCTGCAGTGTAGGAGTTGCAGCTCAGGAATCCCCGACAGATGATGGCCCTCCAACCTCTGTTTAAACACCACTGATGTTGTGGGGCGCTTCAGGCTTTCCCTTCCTCCTGGGTTCTCTGGACCGGGAGTCTCATAGCCATGCTGTGTTTGATTGGTCTGTTGAAAATCCCAATCCCCCCAAGAATCCAGACCGGGGTTTGTAAGTGAGGCTGGCATGTGCGTGAATGTCTGGGACCGAATCCGTTCTGGTGCTGCTTATTCCTGCCTTTGCTCTCCCACCTTCCCGTGTCAGCTCCCTCCCACCCACTGCTACTCTGCCCTTAAGAGCTGCCTTTGCCCCCTCCCCATCATCCTTCTTCCTCCTCACCTGCCTGTCCCCCCCCGCAGCTCTTCTCCCCTTGAGCCCCATAAGAATGCTCCACAGAGCTTGTGGGGTGGGAGGTGGAATCTGTGGGGTGCCAGGCTGAGAGGCTGGGAGTGGGGCGGGGGAGAGAGGGAGGGATTTTTAAAGGCCGGTGCTTGGTCATCAGATGCCCTATTCTGAGGTTCGGCTCATCTGCCACTGGCTCTGTTTTTATTTTTGAATAAACTTGCTAGGGTGGCTAATCGACTAATTAATTTTAATTCCTTAGTATATTAATGTCTGTTGCTTTCTTCCTTTCAAATGCTGCCCCCTCAGCCCGTCTGGCATGTTTGATTATGACTTTGAGTAAGTTTGACTTGACTTAGTTCTTGTGCTGTGTTTATAGTCCGTAGACCTTTCTTCCACACCAACCCCCCCTCCCTGCTTTCATCTCTTCCCTCCCCCCCCCACCCCCTACTCCTCCCTCCCGCCATGCCTGGTCAAAGCTATTCTAACCCATAGTTTATCTGTTTAATTGTAGGTATGTATATTAGGTTAGGCTGGCAAGTTTTTTAAAATACAGACAAAAGCGCATTGGAGGTAACTTTTTATTTAATAACCTTGGCAATATTCAATCGGCTTCCTTCTCCGCTTCCTTTACATCATTTTAAAAAGCAGATAAACTTCTGTTGGGGTTTTGAAAACTTGATTTTTCTTGCTTTGCTTTTCTGAAGCCAATGGCCCATGCTGGACTTGGCATTTTTTCCACCCCGCTGCAGAGAAACACGAGGCCTTTGATTTGGCTGGGGTAGCCAAATCCTCTTTCAATCTGACATCCGCTCTCTCCTCAAAAGAGCTGCACTCTTTAACCTGCTAACATAGCGCATGACATGTTAACTCAGTCTATGGATGCTGGCTAACTCTCTAATTCATTTTCCTTCTGATTGTGTGGGTAGAAAACTGCATTTCTGTGCAGGGTTGGGGTATGTTGTTGGGGTGGGGGCAGATTCTGCTTTGGGCCTGGCTGAATTGGCAACTGAGAAATTAACAAATTCTGTGGCTTGGTTTTTGGATCTGACTTTTCCCTGAATCTCATCTGAAAGCTCCTTTCTCTTTCCTTCCTTGCAGGATTGATCTCAAATTGAACAAAAAGCCCCGAGCTGTAAGTATCATCCTCTGACCTTGGAATGCCCTTCTCCACCCCCTACCTTCAATCCCCTGCCCTCCCACTTCACCCAGTTCTTCTTTCAATGGCAGAATTCTGGGATGGGGAGGGTGGATTAGGAGTTAAGACAAATCCCATCTTTTCACTAAAGGGTGAATCCTTCCTCTACTTGTCCTCCACTTAATGAATAGAGGGCAATGTGTCTAAGTGGTTAAGCTTCAAGATGTTTTTCTTCACACAGCTAAATAGAATTAAAATTATGGAACTCTCTTCAGCAGGAGGCAGGGATGGCCACCAACTTGGGTGGCTTTAAAAGATTAGACAAGTTCATGGAAAGGGTTGTCCTAGCCGTGATGGCTGCATTCTGCCTCCACTATTGGAGGCAGTAATCCTTCTGAATCCCAGTTGCTGGAAACCGTAGAGGGGAGACTGCTTTTATGCTTGGGTCCTGTTTGCTGGTTTCCCACTGCAACATCTGGTTGGCCGTTGTGAAAAAGGATGCTGGACTAGTTGGGGCCGTTGGCCTGAACCAGCAGGCAGTTACGTTCTCATGTTTTTCACCAAAGGCAGTGGTTTGCATCCGCCTTTCTCTCTGGCATTGCCCCTGCTGAGCGAAATCTTCCTCCTCTCCCCACACTGAATGCAAAGAGTGGGGTGGGATTCTGAAGCAGCAGTTTGTGGGAGCAGCTGTCCTGATGCCCTGCCACCTTATTCTTTCCTGCCACAGGATTACTAGATGCCTCCAAGCTGAATCTTCCAAGAGCCTGTCTGCCTTCCGCCCCAAATCCCAGCCCTCACAGGAGACTGAATAAGCACAAGGCCAGCTCTTTCCCATCCCAGACTGCCCAGGTCTCCTGCTCAGCTCAGCTCAGATGATGTTGATGGGGACAATCTGTGACAGCAGCAGCAGCTGCTCCTTCTTTGCTTCCTTCCTTCTCAGCTGTTCGGCGACAGACGCCCACCTTGGATTGGCCAGCCTCACTGCTGCTGTTCCATCATGTGTAAAACAACCATCAGGAAATGCTCTTGTTGATGTTTCCTTCTGTTTCTTCTGGTTGATTATAACCCATTTTTTTGTCTCATGATGTTGCTTTTTTAAAAAACAACAACAACAAACCTTGATATTTAAATTACAAACTTTTTTAAAAAAAAGAAAGAAAAGAAATGGTCCAGCTGTGCTGCCCCCTTGTCTATGTAGGTCCTCTTCCTCTTGTTGGAGCCTGACTGTGGTGATGCTGGGGGAACTACTTCAAAGAGGCAGCGGGTTTGGAGCAGGAAGGTGACTATTTAATTCTCCTGATGCTTGAGAGGGATGAAGGCGATGGGGGCAGAGTCTCTCTCTTTTTAAAAAACACTTCTGTCTTTTGTTTGTAAATAAAGCCATCAAACTTCCATCTCACTGAGCTTGTTTCTGAGCAGGAGGCATGTCTTATTCGGGGCGGGGGGGGGACCTAGCTGGCCAGCCAGGCTGGGTCAGGGCCAGATCCTGCTGGTGGTGGTCTGCAAGGCACCATTGCATCAAAGACAGGGAAGCCCTTTTTGCAGCCAAGAGCTCTGGGGAGAGGCAAGCAGGTCCTAGCAGGAGCACCTGGGCAAGTGCTGGGGAGGGGGGGTTGGGAGGGAGCTCTCTGATGTCTGTGCTGGCAAGTTTTGTCGGCTCACCTGATTGTGGCCATTCATGGATCCAGCCTGAAGCACTTGGGAGAAGGCCTTCTGAGACGTTGGGGACGCCAGGTGGTCGTGGGATTTGGCACCTTCTTGTTAGGCAGGGAGCAAAGGAACCAGAGACATGGATTCCAAAACAAGCACCTAAAAATTCACCCAGTTCTGCTTTCATCATTTGGGCCTGTTCCAGTTTTGCACTCTGTTGTCACACCTCCCTGAATTTCAAGGATTCAAAATTACGGGAATGGTGGAGAAATCTCTGTGACCGAAGATGCAGGAGCATCACCTGGGCAGGTGTGTGAAATGTGTGCAACCACCTTCATGGACAAGTCTGCTGTTCGCCTCCCCTCTGGCCCATCCCCTTTTCTCGCCACTCCTCCCCCTGCCAATCAGCATTTAAACAAAGGCAACTCAGACAGAGGAATCCAGCTAGGAAGTAACCAGCCAAGAGTACCTTCAGCCTAGATGTTTAAAAGTCAGACCCTACAACCAAACCTCCCACCAACACCAAGATAAATCACAAGTCACCTCCCTTTGCCACATTGGAACCCCTTTAGCATTTAAACTTACGTTGCAGTGAAGATGGCAAGAAAGCCATTGAAAGGAGGATAACAAGTTAGGCAAAATGGCACTGGGACACCTGGCTTCTAATGGGGTTCCTGGGGTTCCCAAGGGAAGTATTGGGAATTTCTGGGGCTGGGCCCTGACATTAGGCAGAGTAAGGCAGCCAACACAGGCAAAAGATCTTGGGTGTTAAGTAAAGGCAGCATATTTTCAGTTGATTTATTATTACTGCAATTTTGTATTGCAGCCAGGAAGAGGAAGATCAATCCTTATTTATTTGTAAAAATATTTGTATACCGCTATATCATCCAAAGTATATCAAAGCTGTTTACAAAAATAAAAACTACCACCCACTTTGGGAACTACTGTATTAAACTTTTTAAATATTGACCCTGGGTGAGATGTTGCTTGTCTCTACAAGGAAGTGGAGGCATCCTCACCTTGGGACAAGGGTGGGGAGACTTCACTCCCCCCACCCCCGCAAACTGGCAAGCCTCCTTGCGTGGCTCCTTGTAGAGTGACTGTGTTTGGGATTTGCAATGGGGAGGTATGAACCTGGCTCTTGGCAAGTAATGAGTCTAGCTCTCCTTGAGGTCAGGCATCTGCACCAAAGAGAACTAATATCTGTGAGCCTCCCTCATGAAGGCTTCCTTTGCAGAGATGCCCAAGGGAGATTTGCTCCCCTCTGAGAGGACTTCTGTGCCCCTTAAAGGTAAAGGGACCCCTGACCATTAGGTCCAGTCGTGGCTGACTCTGGGGTTGCGGCGCTCATCTCGCTTTATTGGCAGAGGGAGCCGGCGTACAGCTTCTGGGTCATGTGGCCAGCATGACTAAGCTGCTTCTGCGAACCAGAGCAGCGCACAGA